CACATAACACCTCGCAAGAAGTCTCCAATTAAAAACGATGCTCTTGCGTGCACGCATTCTGCACACTTTTAGGTTGCATGGAACGCTATCTATTACTGTAATGAATACTTAAAAATTTGAAAAAATAGGCGAAGTTGGTGGAGATCGATGCCAGCAAGCGTCAAAAGTTTTCTCAATCTTTTAGTCTCCTCAAAGATACCATAACTTTTGCGTACAACCCCTATGTTTAATTTGATTTTTATCAACTGAGTTGATAATGCGAATCGGCCACCGTTTTTAAGAGTCAGGCTTAGCCAACGTTTCGAGCATCGTTAGTCCTAGAATACAGGAATTGGGGGTTTTGTTTGTTTTGTGTTTCAACATTATAATTGTCAACAGGTAATGGTGGTTCGATTTCTAGTTGAGGCAATTCTCTGTTCAAAGTATTAATGTCTTCTATTCATTTCTGCAACGTCATTGAGACCTTTTCTTATTGCCTACGAATATTCTTTATTTCACCAATCAATTTGTCTTGTTTTTCAGCAGTTGACTTTTTCAATTCTGTCTGACTTTCTATAACAGGTTTGAAAAATTGTCTTCTTGCGAACTGTGATTCAATAATTTGATCATTATCATTTCTGACAGTTTGTTTGCTACTTTTTACATTTCTGCGGCTTTTGCTTTGTTTTCAGCATTCTCTCTCAACCACTTAATATCCATTTATAAGTAGTTTATATTATCTTAACCAATTGAATAACTACACAAAATTCACTTATTTTAGTCTGATCGTAATGTATATATTAAATGAAGCTTCCAAACTATGACAAGAAATCAAACAAAACCAGAAGAGCCTTTTATAATTTCATTGATGAAGAATACAGAATGCTTAATTGTGGTCAAAGTGGTTGCGGCAAAACAAATGTTGTGATGCATATGTTGAGAGAACCACAGGTTTATTTTGATTAAAATATATCTGTGCACACCAAATCAGCACCAAGAAGAGATCGTTGATATGCAAGAAATAATAGATAAAATATCAAACCAAGTTGGCTGTAATGCTATGGAAACATTATCTCCAGATGATATCATGGACACAAATGAACATGATGAAAATCTGAGAAATGTTGTCATATTTGATGATCTTGCAGATGCACCAGAGAAAGTGCAAAATAAAAGAGCAAATCATTTTCACACTCATTGGACGTCATCATAGTGTTTCACTGATTTATCTGAGTCAGAATTATTATGATGTTCCAAGCAAATTGAGACAAAACTGCAGTCACATGATTCTATTTCCTCCAACAACAAGAACACATTTGAATCTCATAAGTAAAGATAACACGATTGATGAAAATATGTTTGATAAGCTGAAACCATTACATTTTTTGTTCATTGACGTAGAGAAGAGAAACATAAACAAGAACTCTGATGAAATAATGTAAACTTATTATATAATGGTTAAATCATATTGTGCGAAACAAGAAAAAAACTGAACGCGTTGAGCCACCTGGCTACAAACAAATCAAAAACAGAAGAACAACATATTGGTGTACTTGTGCTGAATCTGTGGCATAATCAAGATAAAGTTTGTGAGACTACTGTACATTGTGACATTTGTTATGATCACGTGGGAAAAAACAAAGGTGCCTGAGACAGAAAGATGGTCTCAGAATTGGACAAAACATTCCATATGGAGAGATGTCAAGGTGAGGACAAACAGCACGATTCGTAACTGATAAAAAAAACAAAAACTTGGTCTCAGAGGGTCAAAAAACAGAAGAAGCTGTTGAGTGAAATGATTTGGCAACAACAATTAGCTGATGAATTACACAAGCCAATCAAAAGAGATTTCATGAATAAAGGCTGAAAGTTTCAAAAGAAACTGTGGTGCTGCGTCGGTGGGGGTAATCAAGGTAATTTGGTTATATCGACTAAGTTGAAATTGTAAATTGGCCATCGTAACGAGTTAAAAAGCTGACGTTTCGAGCGTTGGCCCTTCGTCAGAGCGTTGTTTCGCTCTGACGAAGGGCTAACACTTGAAACGTCAGCTTTTTAGCTCGTTACGGTGGCCAATTTACAATTTCAACTTAGTTGATAAAGAAAAGAGATTTCACTCAGCGGCTAGTTACTGTTAATAATATTGATGATATTTGGGCGGCAGATTTGGGTCAAATGCCGCAGTTCAGCAAAAGGAATAAAGGTTATAAGTATCTTCTTATGGTAATCGATGTGTTCAGCAAATATGGTTGGATAAAACCTTTGAAAGACAAAAAAGATGAGACACTCATAGAAGAATTTAAGAGCATCTGAAAGGAAGGCAGAAAGCCAAAATATTTGTGGGTTAATAAAGGAAAAGAGTTTTATAATCAACATCTGAAAGAATTGTTGCAAAAGAATAACATAACGATGTACTCAACAGAAAATGATGAAAAATCAAGAGTTGTTGAGAGGTGGAATAGAACAATCAAGCAGAGAATGTGGAAACAGTTCACTGTTCAGGGAAATACTTATTATCTTGATACGCCTCCAGAAATACTGAACAAATACAATAATACCAAACACACAAGTATTAAAATGACACCAACAGAAGCAAGCAAAAAGAAGATTGATTGTGTACCTCAATTTGTATAATGATGAATAAAGCTCTTCAACAAAACCAAAGTTCAAAGTTACTGATAAGGTTAGAATACCAAAGTGTATGAGAAAAAGTTTTGGCAAAGGATGTACTTCGAACTGGACGGAATAGATTTTCATTATTGACAAGATACAGTGTACGAATCCAGTAAAGGAGTTTCTATGAACCTGAATTATTGAAAGCTAAACAAGACGGAATTGATATTCGGAATTGATAAAGTCATCTAAAGAGATTGCAAAAAGAAACATTAGCTTTAATAAAGTGGAAGGGGTAAGATGATGATTTCAACAGTTGGATACCAATAAAAGACCTGGTTAATATATCGTCATAAAAAACAAAAGCTGGGGTGGTCGAATCAACACCCTTAGGTTAAGAGACCGTCCAAACAAGAGGGCCCCATTTTGGGTCCGCTAAGCTGAGATCACAAAAAGCTGACTCATCCAGCAGATGGCACAGGTTAACAGACCTGCCAAACATGAGTTCCATTATAGTGGAAGCCATGCGATGTCTATGAAAAACATTTAGGAAAATAATTTTCGTATTTAAAACTTTATATAACTCTAATTAAAGAATGAGTCTTGTCACCAAAAATTTCTACAATTCTGAATTTGATTTATCTCTGCTTTTATAGATAGCAAACAGAATATGGTTTATTGGCAAAGATGTTGTCATTATGTTGGGTTATAAAAATACAAGAAATGCTCTATCTAAACATGCTGAAAAAGAAGATAAAACACTAAAATGGATTTTTAAACCTTTTAAACATGGTGTTGGTGAGACTGACACCAAGGCTGAGGCCACAAAAAATTAAAGAAAACAATAAATGACATTGATAAATGAAATCGGATTGTATTCTTTAATTTTTGGAAGCGAATTGAAAAGCGCCAAAAAACTGAAAAGGTGGGCTTGTGAAGTAAAAAAAAAAGAAAATATGGTGAATACAAATTAGTTGACGATCCAAGTAATAAAATGTTGAGAACAATAGAAACTGAACTACACTACAAAGTAATGTCGACTTCAGTAATCAGAAAGAACTATAATGAAAAAGTATCATGGTTTCAGCATGTGGAGAGAACCAAGTAACGGCTGCAAAAAGAACAGAGAGTTACAAAAAAGGGTGCACAAAAGGAATGACAGATTTGGTTCTACATTGTTGTCATAGAGATTACAAAGGTTTCGTAATTGAATTCGAAAATCCCAATAATTACTTCGATACGTCTGATCCACAAAAGAAGTTGCTGAAGAGATACAAAAAGTTCAACTATGAGACTTCTTTCAAATGATTATGACGAATGCGTCAAAGAATTGGTCCTGTTTATGGAAGACCGCAGAATACCATGTGAATATTGCAAACACTCATTCAAAACAGAAGAAACCATAACGAATCACCGCAAGTACCTCCATACCATTGAAAAATAGTATAAGAATAATATATAACTAGGAATTAAATTGAAGAAATTTTTGAACAATTATATTAAAGAAACAGCAATTAGAGATACAAAAACTAAAACTTTTAGTAGACTATCTTTTGTGTAAAATCAATTAAGCATTCAGTCACGTGATTCTTTTCATCTAATCATATTGTTACACATTTTATGTAATCAAATAGTGTACGCGAAATTGTAATTTTTGACCTTCATGACGAATCTTTTGCGTAAAAATGCCCATTGGACTCAAACAACTGAAATATTTTTGTAACCATAAACGTAACTTGTAACGCCATCTTCAAGTATGTAACGTTTATCATTGAAAAAAGGCAATGACACCTTGTTAAGTTCATAATTGCAGATTTGATGTTTGTTGCTTCTGAGGTTTTCATTTTTTGAGACATTTGTGTACAATTGAACAAGCTATTTTTATAATCAAATAACTTGGATATATCAAAAAAGTTGAACTCATTTATGATGAGGCTAACCCGACCGACGGCCACAATCTTGAACATGCTTTTTACGAGTTCTCCTTGCAAAAACTTTACTTTACTTTACTTTAATCATTTTCTCAACAAGCTTAACATATATACAAGGCTGAGGGGAAGGCCAAGAAACAGGAAAGGGTTCCCTTACAAAAGGCCACCCAAAAAAGAAAAACACTACACATACCTATATATATTTGTAATAATATAATAATAATAATGATAACAATAATAATAATAATAATAATAAGTTAGGTTAATTCAGTGTCTAACTGGTATAAATAAGCCTTACAAAGACTCTTAAAATCAGAAAGAGACTCAGACTTTCTGACATGCACAGGTAAACAATTCCAGGCTTTTCTAAATTTCTACTGATATGTTACATAATTATATTTCTAAGTACAGTGTATTTTAGTATCTTTTAGTATAGGTAGTATTTTAGATCTTGTACAGATATATGTAAGAATATATATATTTAGATAATCTCCATTTTATGTTTTCTCGAAGATATTAGCTCCAACAAGCTACTCTAAAATTCGAGATGAAATAAAGTTTATGATTATGATGATGATGATGTTTTTGTATTGTTCATATCGATATTTGTGTGGTTAAATTTATAGCTTTACATGTTTTGATATGATTCTTGGTTGATTTCCTAAGCGAGATTCCCTTGGTTTGGTGGTTTGGTGGTTTGGTGGGACTCCAGAAGGGCCTTGAAATTTTGTAACTTGACAAAAATTTTCAACAGTTCGTTTACTCTTTGGATTTTAAAAACACTGCAAGTTATTTCCATTACGTATACCTTTTTATGAGGGGGGGGGGAATAATTACGTCTGTATGGTTTCTGAAGCTAGAAAAAAAGTGAATTAATTATTTTAACCATGAATATTTGATTTTCAGGTCGCTGTGTTTGGAAATTGTGACCCAGAAGTACAAGAAATTGCCTTTCAATATGGCAGAAATATTGGAATGGCTTTTCAGGTACATTAGATTTGCTGATCACAAATGTATCATCGCGATATGGTCTGTTTTTTGTTGTGGCTGTTTTCGTTTGAATTTCTCTTTTTTTTTTTTTGTACACTTTATTTCCTGCCTCAAGATTTCGAGCCCATGTATAAGAAATGATAAACTCAGCACTTGTATACCGCCAAGTGAATAAGCCAGCTGTCCATGGGTTTTAGTTTGATGGATCTCTTTCAGTATCATATTTTCTAATTCTCCTAGGTTAACTGACACTTTCGCTAGAGTTTGCATTTTGTGGCTTCAACATATCAGTTTCAGTTTACAGTATCGAGTCACTAGTGTTTTTATGGGTATCACTGCGCTCCACCCCAGGGAGAGAAACACGCTAATGCCACGTATGAGTTGAATGAAGTTGTTTTCTGTCCGATTTTGTAGGTAGTAGATGATATTCTGGACTTTGTAGCCAGTGAGGGGGAGATGGGAAAGCCAACAGCCACTGATCTACGTCTTGGGCTTGCAACTGCGCCTGTCTTGTTTGCGTGTGAACAGGTAATAATACTACCTGTCTACTAAAGACCCTGACTCTAAGAAGGTTCATTTAGATTAAAATAAAAAAGAAAGCAAAAGAAAAGAAAAGACATGGGCAGCCGA